AAATAAATGTTTATTAAATAAAGTCTAATGTTACATCTTATCGTGGATCCCTTTAAGCAGTTTGTATAAATCACTAAACGTTTTAGACATCTTGAGCTCAAAATTCAGATGTTGAGGGAATTTTCAGGACTGGACAGAAAGATTTAAAAGTTGTCTCAATCCTAAATTAGGCTGCTTGATTATGGTTTTTAAAAAGTGCTTGCTTTTGTCAATATTGGGATCAGAATCATATAAACTATATTTACTGATTAAAACGCATTAATGAACACATTTTACCTCAGTTCAAAACCAAAACAAGCAAAAGGTCACCTACTGCAACATGGCACAGTTTGTGTTAATCCTGTTTACATAATTGTAGCAAATACACACCAATCTAAATCTATACAGGTTATGACTATTTATTGACAAATTATGACAGTCATTACAGCTATAAAGATAAGTTTTTTAAAACTTTTTTAAAAAATTTTTACGTGTTGTTGACCTTGTCTTCTAACATGGAGAAATGTCACACAAATGCAGAGTTTGTTTTAAGGGTGAAAAGGATGCATGTGGCAATGATGGCATGTTGTAGTGGACGATGGAGCAGCTTCTACTGGTTTAAACTGGATTTCCTCTCTTTAAACTTTAGCTGATGAATGCAGGAGTAGGTACCCAGTACCCATCTCTGTACACAGCCCCTCTGCACACGGAGTCGGGCAAGTGGGACGCTTTGGTYAAAGCCAGCGAGAGTTTGCTGAAGGAGAAGGAGCTCATCATCGAGAGGTACGTGTGCCCAACAGTTTTACTTTTGCATCATCGTGTCACTTAATGCAGTCGGTTGAAAAGGATTTACAAATCATCAGATTTGTTTTTATTTATGTTTTACACAACGTTCCAACTTCATTGGAATTGGGATTTTAAAAGTGAAACATTTTGAGTAAATCTCTGTTTGTCTTGATGATTGTTGGTCCGGTTCTGGTTACAGACAAAAGCAACACATGGCCCAGTTGGAACAGCGTCTGAGGGAAAGTGAGCTGCAAGTCCACGGAGCAATCCTGGGTCGAGGGGCATCTTACGCGGACATGTGCATGCTGCGTCTGCAGGCAATTAAAAGCCTCTTCTGGCTCCTGGCGTTTAACTCGATCAATGCTGTGTTACACTGTTGTCCTCTGTCCCCTTTTGAAACTCTCCTCTGTGTGCTTCTTTCATTGTGCTGGCGTCGCAGGAGGCTCAGAGGGAGAACGCATTCCTCAGAGCGCAGTTTTCTGAGCGCACGGACTGCGTTGCCCTGGAGAAAGCCGAGGCAGAGCGCAGACTGGGAGCCGTCGAGGCCGAGACCCGCCGTCTCACCGAGAATCTAAAGGAAGCCTGCGAGAGGCACGCAGAGGAGATGAAGAAACAGGAAGAGAGGGTTTGTGCTTCCCTAATGCCTTTGTCTAACACATGCGAGCCATCACGTCGAAACGAGGATTAAGTCTAAAAGTTGTATGTGGAGAAATAGGCAGATATTAAAACGCTTGCAAAAATTACATTTTGTCAAAATATAACAAAAAATGTGTTATTAATATACCGTTTCAATCAACTGTCTGAAATATTATCCTAAATAAATTTTTTGAAGCACTTTTTTGAGCAGTAGCAACCAAAACCCCGATTTTGAGGAAAAACGCCTTAAAATGTTGAGATTTTCCCTGTGAGTTATCAAAGCTTTTGTTTCTTTCCAGCTGAGAAATCTCAATATTCAATTACTGTTTGAGGTTCTTTTTTCAAATGACATATAAAAAATCTTCATTAACATTACATAAAATTAGGATTTAGACTAACTATGTATGTATTATTGTAACCAACAAGACAAATTAAATAATATCTCTGGATCTACTGATGATATCAGGATGATCTAAGTTTAAAATGTAGCTTTTGAAGCAGGAATCTGAAAATATGATCAGGTCATTTTGACCGAATTTGACTTAATCCTCATTTCGGTGNGAAGAGAGGGTTTGTGCTTCCCTAATGCCTTTGTCTAACACATGCGAGCCATCACGTCGAAACGAGGATTAAGTCTAAAAGTTGTATGTGGAGAAATAGGCAGATATTAAAACGCTTGCAAAAATTACATTTTGTCAAAATATAACAAAAAATGTGTTATTAATATACCGTTTCAATCAACTGTCTGAAATATTATCCTAAATAAATTTTTTGAAGCACTTTTTTGAGCAGTAGCAACCAAAACCCCGATTTTGAGGAAAAACGCCTTAAAATGTTGAGATTTTCCCTGTGAGTTATCAAAGCTTTTGTTTCTTTCCAGCTGAGAAATCTCAATATTCAATTACTGTTTGAGGTTCTTTTTTCAAATGACATATAAAAAATCTTCATTAACATTACATAAAATTAGGATTTAGACTAACTATGTATGTATTATTGTAACCAACAAGACAAATTAAATATCTCTGGATCTACTGATGATATCAGGATGATCTAAGTTTAAAATGTAGCTTTTGAAGCAGGAATCTGAAAATATGATCAGGTCATTTTGACCRAATTTGACTTAATCCTCATTTCGGTGTGATGGGTCACAAATGTTGTAAATTAACAAAAAAAGCTACAATATATACAGTGTATTTTCATTGTCTCCATGTAAACATAAGAGTCATAACAAATTCCTGTAAACATAAATTCATTTAAATATTACAAAAAGCTGTCAATCTATCAATTTTCTTTCCTTGTTTTACTAAACAAGAAGAAAAGAAGCTGCTGAAATGAGGCATTTGTTTTTAAAATCTGTCACATGTCCTAACCTCGGGTTTTTCTCTGTTATTTTTACAAATGCTAACACAAAGGACTGATTATAGTACTACGTTTGTGTGCAGATCCGGAGTCGAGACAAACACATCGCCAACCTAAAGAAGAAGTGTCAAAAAGAGGCGGAGCTAAAGAGGGAGAACCAGCAGCGGATTGAAACTCTGGAACGTTACCTGGCTGATCTGCCGACCCTGGAGGACTACCAGAGCCAGAACAAGCAGGTCTGCTCCGTCCAAAGAGACCCGATCGGTGGTGCTTTGGCATCGAGGCATAAATTCTGAAATCCGGGCACGGTCTGTGTGCTCTTTGTTTCAGCTCTTGGAGTCTGAACAGCAGGTCGCTCAGCTACAACAGGCCGCCAAAGAACTGGAAGTCACCCTGGAGACGACACGCTCTCAAGTCCAGGACAAAGACACGCAGCTGGAGGAGCAGAAACGCAGAGAGAGAGACCTGCTCACCACCATTACCGAGTATGTACCAAATACATCACTCCTCCTGTGAAAATAAATATTAATTTACCCACGTAACAAGTGCTCTCTGGTGTTTATTTTCACCTTCCCCAGCATGCAGCAGCGTGTGCAGCAGGGCCTCGAGGACGGAGCCAGACTTCCTGGTTTGGATTTCGAGAAACTTCGAGGGGAAAACAACTCTTTGAGAGACGAGCAGCAAAAACTTAAAAAGGTTTGTGTGAAGCAGCATGGATGAGGGCGTTGATTTAGTATCTGAATTTATTTTAAAATGTCAAAATATCTATTTTGTTCATGTTAATCAGTGACGCCACTTTGRAGTCAGCAGAGTAGTCGCTTCTTGTTAGACGTCATGTAGTTTCCTTTAGTAGAAACATGTTGCTGTAACAATGTTTGTTTCTTCCCTGAACGCTGAAGAATATCTGTCTGAAGTTATCATTACATGATTATTATGACTTTGTAATGTTTATGTATAAATTTTTGGTGATAAACATGATGCTAATTGCCGTTAGCTTTTTAAAGGCATTTATGAAAATAGACTAGCATCTACGCTAATTGTTTTTGTGTTGCTCATAGTTTTCTGTTCGAAGTCCTGGCCAGCCACAGAYGCCTCCGTTCCTCTGATCATTTTTGATTAACTTCTTTGATTCATAAGTTTCTGTTTAAACCAGCACACCAAAAAYGTAGCTGTCCCAAGTTAACGTTCACAAATTCACTTTTTAGATTCTATAATCCATTTTGTGTTTTAGTTAGACTCGGGCAGCTGAATGGCTTGTTAAACTATTTATTTATTTATTTATTTATTTATTTATTAGGGAATAATATTAAACTAACCAGTGAAGTTCCTTTTTGTAACAGAATTTAGGGACTGTAATCAGGAAAAATAAAAGCTGTGTGATAGTACMGGTTTAAAGCTGAGCTCTTCTGTTTGCAGGTTATTGAGAAGCAACATAAAATGATGGAACAGCTCGGCTCTCAGATTCAGGTGTTTTTCTCCTCAGTTCAACCGAATCATTGTGTTCTTTTAGTATTTCTCGCATCCTGTTAACATTAGTGAGTTTTTTATGTATCTGCAGGCTTTAGAGGAGCAGATATCTCAGGAGGAGAGCAGCTCTCAAGCTCTCAGAGAGGAGGTGTTGGCTAAAGAGCAGAATGTGTTGGAGCTGCACACCGCCATGAAGGAGGTCAGATGGACCAATTCAGGAAATTAATAATAATAATAATAATAAAAATTACCGTGTTTTATAAACGGACTTCCTCTTTCCTAACACTGATTTTTGCTGCAGCTGTCAGCTCAGAACCAGGAACTGATGGAGCAGAATCTGACGCTGCAGGAGCAGATGAGTGACCCGGAGCAGAGGGGCACCAGCCAGGCCTCCTCGGTCCTGCAGCCGGCCGGAGCRCGGCTCACTCAGAGGCTTCACTCAGAAATCGCTTCCTGTCTCAGTGAGCTGCGCTCCCTGTGCAGCATTCTGACTCAGAGAGCCCAGGGACAAGACCCCAACCTGTCTCTGCTGCTTGGCCTCACATGTAAGCTCTATTCATCTTTTTTTAATAACCAGGTCAGTTTGAAAATAGGTAAGATTATAATAGTTATTTTTGTTTCCTTTCCAGCACCTCCAGCACCGGCAGAGCAGGGCGAGGACTGGATGGAACCCGACGTCCTGCAGAAGAAGCTGGTCGAAGCCCAGCAGCTCCGCCGTGACGTCGAGGAGCTCCGCAACGCCATCCTGGACCGTTACGCGCAGGACATGGGAGAGAACTGCATCACTCAGTAAACAACGCAAACAACAGGCTTTCTGTGTGCAGGAGGGCGGCTGCTTCATTTTCTCAAAACGAGGACAAGCTAAACCCCAAATGGCTTCTAACCTCGGCGTCTTTCACCTGATTGAACACTGAGTCTCAAGCCTGCCTGTAGCTCAGAACCGTCCCCCCCTCCCCCCAGTGGGTTCATCTATTTCAGTCCAAGGGCTAACAGAAATAATTTACCTCTAATACTTGATCCTTTTAGTGTTGTGTGCGCATGTGTGTTTTTAAACAACTACCAAACAGTCTTATGTTTTTGTTCCACTCAGGTGGACAGCTCTTTGTGTAGAAGTCCCGTTTTAATTTATTGAAACGTTGATTTCCCTTTTTTAGGGGAATTATCCTTTTTAATTGGTTGACAATCAACTGGAAATATTTAGACTTGCTTTTTTTTTTACTGAATTTGCAAAGATGTTACTCGTGCACCATTGTTTGGAATGGTGAGCACTGTAATAATGGACTGAGCTGTGATGTTTGGGACTGAACAACCTTTATACCAAATCAGCTTGTGACACCAACGGGCCTACAGCAGCTTGAAAACCAAAGAAGCTCTGGTCGAAGCTCCACCGTCGCTCTGATCCAACACCAGCATGTGCCTTTTGTCGTGTTTGCAGCTACAGAAACGCTGAGTCATGTCAGACCAACTGAAGGGCTGAACTCTTCCAGTACGACTTTTTTTTCTTCTCAGTATCAACCAGTAGACTAGGCAATACATTCCCTGACTCTGAATGTAGACAGCTGTAGGTCATATCACAGCAGCCGAAGAAACCCAGACTTTTTTTTTCTGTAGTTTTGAAGTTTATTAAATAAAAGTCTGGGTGAGCTTTGTAGAATTGGCTTTGTGTACATTTCACTTTGTGTTGCTTCAGGCTGACTTACATACAACAGAGTGGTTAACGAACTGAGAAACAGTATTAGTTGTCAGTATTTATTTTTTTGTTTGTTTTGACAGCTGTTTGAAAGATTTTTGAAGCGTTTTTTTTAACACGTTAGGAAAAACTTAGCATCCTCGATGTGTGAAGGTCTCATGAAGTGGCTTTAGGTTYTTTCTCTGGTTATTTGTGACAGGAAGTTGGAGCGGGAGCTGGTTCTCCCATCTTAGGATGAAGAATTATTACAGGAGGGAGGTTTGTACTCATCCAGAGTAGAAAAAAAGCCATTAAAACTTGACACTTTACAGGAACAGAAAGGGATTTTTTTAATGAAAATATGCAACAATTTCTTTTCGGAAAAGAGAAATCAGGAAAAACRTCGGAGGAATGCTCGAGCCATATTTTTATTTCATGGGACCTTTTTTTAAACTTTAACTAGCACAAAGTTTCTCTTTGAAACATCAGCCTTAACATCTCAAATGTTTTGCAAAAATCCAAGGAAAAAAAGAGGCATTTATATTTTCCTACTTTTGTTTGTATGTGCATACTTTAGAAATAAAGATTTTCAACATTTGGTTTTCACTTTTATCTGTTTTTTTTTAACAGCAGTCTTCTCATCGCTTTTATATTTGAGTTTTAAGTTTGACATGTTTTAATGATGCTATAATGTACATATTAGTTTCAAAACTAAAAATTAATTTTTGAAAGAAGTGATGCTTTTCTCATCACTTTGATGTAAAATATTAACCACAAGTCTTACAGTGGCAGCTGTGTGGAAAACAAAGGATTTTTGTGAACCTAGTTAAGTTTAAAGACTAAAATATGATGAATAGTGCAAATCATTTATCACCAGTGTATACTACACACACAAATCAAATTTTAGTCTGAATTGTAACAYTTTAAACTTTCTTTAAAAACTTAAACCCTTCCCTAATGCACTAAATCAGGATTGTTAAACTCATTTTTACCCAGGGCCACATGAGGGCYAGTTGTAATTAACCTCGTTTTGTGTTTAACTTGGATTAAACATGAACGTCACATTCCTTGTCCCGTTGCTACGAATGAGCCCCTCGAACACAATAACTGAGCTCTACGTGGTATTTCCTGCGTAAAAATAGCATTTTAACCTATCCTTTTATAAACACTGAAAAGTACTGTGTGAACTGCTGGCTAAATATGGGAAAAATTACAGAAATACTATTAAAAGTAAGGGAGCTTTACTCACTGTTGAGTTGTGAGTAGCTGAGAACTCTTCCACCTTCCAACAGAGTATTCCCACTGGAGGGGCGTTCCAATTAAAATTTACGACTTGTAAGTGGGAAATTCCCACTTCCCRATGTGCACCTCCAACTAGTGGTGGGGTGTCATCATTTCATGAGTAAAATAATCAGCATGCATTATGGGAGATGTAATTTATGCTGGCTTTAAAACAGCTCATTCTTATGTGAAGACATTAATACATCCTTGAAGCTCTTGCGGGCCACATAAAATGCAGTGGCGGGTCACATTTGGCCCGCGGACATTGAGTTTGACAYGTGCCAAATTAAGAAAATGTATCTGAAAATGATATCCCTCCTCCTAAAGTGTCACTCCGTTCASTCCAAATTTGTCCACAGTCTGTTGTCGCCTGCTGGTGAAGGTGATTACCAAAATATTTCATAAACCAGTGGATGGGATTAAATGAAACTCAAAAAGTAATAATTGGATGTACGTCTACAACTTTTAAAGTCATTTCAAAATAGCCACCACATCTTATTGACATCAACACAAAGACGTCTGTGACTCAGTCAGATTCACTGAAACAGAGCTAAACTTGGTAGCAGCACATAGTTGTCCTCAACATTTATTTTAGGCTTTAAAGTGCCAGTGACATCAAATTTTTGAGATAAACTTGAATGCATTTTTGAAAAGATAACATTGATAACATGAGGCAAAACTAAATTCACGCCGCTGAGATGAACTGTTGTTGAGATATTTGCCTGTGAAGAAACAGGAAGTGATGTCAAAGGGGAATGTCTGCATGTAAACAGAGCWGTGCTACAACAGCTAACAACACAGACTGCAGAGAAGAATCTGATGTTTCTTTACATTATTTTGCGTCTCTGTCAAAGAGAGATGAAGAAGAGTTAAAGTTTAAATGATACTGTTTTAATAAACAAAGACAAAAGATTGTATTTTATTAATGAGTTCCCCTTTGATGTCACTTCCTGTTTTACATTGGCTAAGACAAATTCAAAAGAAAATAGGCCAGTTATGTGACAAAATGGGTTAAATCATGTGTATTAAGGCAATTTTCTTAAGTATAAAGCTGTTTTMWTTGACTTTTTGTATTTGAAGTAGATGCATGTCACARGCAMTTTAAAATGTATCTCAAAATCACGGTTAATGTAATTTACCAATCGTCTGTATCTCCAGTCATTATAAAGGGGAATTACTGTTTGAAACTCTGACAATGTGCAAAGGTCTAACACTATCTTAACATTTCCTGTAACTTTAAATTCATGAAATATAATAATCTGAAAATGTCTGTCTTGAAAAATTAGAAATTTGTAGAAACCCTGGCTTTATCACCGCATGAGTGAGTAACATGATTTTAAATTTRTGACAGTGTGTCGCCTTCATGTATCTAAAACACAACCTCACCAGTGTTCATGATAATAATAATAATGTGTTTTATTTCACGACTCTGGCAGAACTGCAGAGCAGAAGCGTRTCGTTTTTATTGACTTGTGCGCTTCCTCTCTCGCAGCAGCAGGGTAGAGTTGGCTGAAAGTCCACACGACCGCAGCGTCCGMTCGCCACTCCTGAAGCTGTGTCGGGGGTACGCGCTGATGATGTCATAACCCGACCCGCCTGGCCCTCTGTGGTGCACAGGAATGCAAACAGACCCGTGGTTACTGAAATCAAAGCTAACACAGGAGCATCWTCAGGAGGAYGGTCTTTCACCTGTGTTGGTCCAGGTAGCCCCTCAGGTCCCCCAGCGTCTCTGAGAGCCACATTTTCACTCTGTAGGTCCGGTCCCCGTTTTCTGACCGCACCTTGAGCGTGACGGTGGATTCAGGAGGGGGTTTGTCGCTCACCTGTCCTCTGAGTAAAAAAAGCCAAACATTCAGACACTTCCSTCCTGAGTCATCTTTGCTGCTGTAACCAGATGGTCCTTAGAGGCCTGCCCCAGTTTTCAAATCCGCTGTCAAATCAGGATTTAATCAAGGATTTACATCAAATGGAGGTTTTAGATTTAGCCTCTTTTTCTTCAATGAATTCTTGGCAGGATGTTTGATGTCTTAGCTGTAACAGGAAATGGGAATGTGTTCTGTCATGAATYATTTTTCGTATTTGTTTACCTGTCTGTGGTTGCTTGTAGCGCTGGTGTGTCTATGAGAATCTCTGAGCTGCTGATCTGAGAATCCGATGAACCCTAGAGAAGATACTTTAGAAATCATCATTTCGTGGGAAAAAAAAAGTTTATTTTCTTCCTCTGTGCTGCCGCTCACCTGCAGAGTTGTCCTCAGTGAGTTTCGAATGTCTATCACCTGACCTGGCATCTTGTTCAGGAGCTGATCCGTAGTCCTCCTCTGCCCTKTGTGTCAGAGAAGAATAAAAAGTTAAATCAAAGCATGATTTCAGCCGCTTCGGATGTTATCATCCATTAAATGGACGTTATTAGCCGTTATCAGTCCCATAGAATGGCTTCAGACTGTCCCGACTGTGCCGTCTAGTGGGTTACCAGTGCCGTATACACTGGAATGCAACAATCTGCTACCGCCGGGGTCTGGTCTACTTTAACGTAGCCCAGGTCATTTTCTMTAAAATTAACCTTAGTGGTTTTATGCCTCATACTAACCAGCTAACAGTCTGAAGCCATTCTATGGGACTGATAACGGCTAATAACGTCCATTTAATGGATGATAACATCCRAAGCGGGTGACGATTTTCTCTGTAGATTGTGACGATCAGAACAGACCTGGGAGCTGAAACCTGTCAGGGTTTGTCGACTTGTCACTCTCCTCACAAACTCGCCGCCCTTCACCTGGAAATGTTTCCCACGGCAGTCGGTGGATAAACGTCTCGTGTCGCCTGTCGTGAACCTGCAAAAAATAATCCCCCCCGTGAGGCTTCTGTGTGTTTCTGCAGCGACGCAAAGTAGCAGGAAGGCACCTGGAAAGGCACGCCGTCTGGAAACCTGCCACGGAGCTCCGATGGGAAATAGCCGTCCATGATGTCCTGCAGGCACCGCTGCAAACATCAGAGGAAGGAGAGTGTCGTGAAGCAAACACTCAGAGGTGAGCGATGTTTTCTGTCTTCAGAGGAGCAAACCTGGGTGCTGCGCTCCTGATAGGAGCGGAAAGGACCATCGAACATCAGTATGCCGTTGCCGTAGAGCCTCAGCTGAACCGGATCCTTTCGGGCCAGTTTTGCTCCCCTTGTCGTCGCCTGTACAAAAGTCTCTCCTTCCCCCACGAGGAAGTTCAGCTCCTTGATCCTCCACAGCACGAGGTCGAAGTTCATCTGGAAGCCCCTGTCATCAGGCGTGCCTGGGAAAGGACGAACGACAGAGGAGATGCATCATGAAAGTTTTTACCGCACCGGGAAARCTCAAAAGCACCTCTCTGCCAGAGGTCTTCATCCGAGCCGTGAGTCTGCTCGAGCTCAGCTGAACCGCCGACGTCATCCCCGACCCAGATCAGCCCGTAATCATCGAGGAACTGCTGCGAAACAAAGAACGGCTGAAACAAATCCACAGAGTGAAGAGCATCGACGCTTCGCCAACTCGCCTCACTTCCATCTGATGCACTTGAGTTTGCAGCTGCTGACATCTTCTCTCCACATCATCTCTGCTGCTCGAAGCGTGTGTGCTTCCTGAACACACACACACACACACACACACACACACACACACACACACACACACACA